AAAGAAAGAAAGAAAGAAAGAAAGAAAGAAAGAAAGAAAGAAAGAAAGAAAGAAAGAGAGAGAGAGAGAGAGAGAGAGAGAGAGATGCAAGAAAAGAAAAGAAAGAAAGAAAAACTAAAGTTATGAAATATAATGATTTCCAACCTTCTCTTCAACAGATATTAAGGAGATATATTCTTTTCAAAGATGAACAACAGCCAAGACCAAACATCATTATTTAGAATGAGCGTGTAGTAAAATCAGTGAGAACTGCATAAAATACATTACCTTTTCTCTTAAAAAAAACTTTAAAAAAATAAGACAGTATTATTAGCTCCATTACAGTTGAAGGACTAAGGTTGTTTAACAGTGCCTTGCTTAAGGCCAAAGCCATTAAATACTAAAGATTTCCTGACTCACAGTTCATTATCTTAAAGTATCACAAAGTACATATAATACTTAACACATAACTTTTTGATGATCAGCATGGGGACAAACGTTTCACAGGGGAAGGAAGTTTAATCATTCCATTCTTTATTATAACTGTAATGACCCACCATGAAGCTTCTTTACCCTTAGAGGGAAAGCTTTCTTTGGTACCAATGGGAGATTTTTTTTTCCCTATGCCATATGGCTGCATCTTGGATAAGGGTCAAAATGCTCTCCTCTGCCCAGGAACAGCTGAGTTCCTTAGAAGGACATTTTTCCTTTGCTCTCAGTTGGATGTTTTTCCTAATCACATAGCTGAACCTTGGGTGAAGGTTAAAGCGTAGGAGAAAACACTCTCCAACTCTATGAGAATGGCTAAATCCTTATCTCTAATTAAGACAAAAGCATAGACAAAGTTCTTAATGATGTATGAAACACCATGCTTAGTTTGGTCCTTGCTCATCACAACATCTCTTGCAGAATCCAAAGAAATGGTAAGGTGGAGATGGGAAATGTAATGAAAAGACCAGCTCACCATTCATCCCATCACATTTTGAATTTCCAACATTGAAACAAGAGGTCTTCATGTTGAGAGGCAGTACATTCCACCACTTATATTCCAGCCCCAGCACTGGCTCAGTGCCAGCAGGACAGGGCTTGCAGTCTAAAGAAGAAAGAGATGAGAATTAAGATATTCAAGACTGATTTTTAAATCAAACTAGTTTATTAGATGCTGTAAGAATAAAAAAAAAAATCTGCATACACTTGGGGCAAGGATGCCTGTGTGTGGGAGGAGGGTCAAAAATGTCAAGATAGTGGTCACAACCATGCAATCAAAGCTCTGCCCCTTTTTACATCTGCCACACATACAACACATGTAAAAAGGGACAGGGCTTTGATCATTTGGTTGTGGGTGCCATCTTGACATACAGATCCCCATGGACGCCTCTGCTTGGGTGATTCAGGCCAGCTACCTATCAGTTATCACAGCATTCTTCATCTCAGAAAGTATGATGTTTCCCTAGCATGAAGATCTTTTAACTGCAAAATACTTAAACCAAAATAGACACATTGGAGGGGACAAATATTTGCCAACAAATCAATCCTTTTAAATGTAGGCTGCATAATGAGAAAGCTTGCTTTTGAGAACATCCAACCAAGGCAGAACGTAAGCAATTTTCACCCTTCTGTTTTATTTCTGAAAAGCTGAAAAATTCAGTTAACTGAGAAATCATGGCATTTGCATTTTTATTCACCAGAGGTGAAGAACTAGGCTAGGCTAGCTGAGATGGCCACTCCTTGGGGCCAACAGTTGCCTCTGATTAAATTATTTTTCCCATTTTTAAAAGATACAATATTCTTCAAGATCCATACTGTATATAATAGATATTATTATATACTATAATATGTATATAATTACTATAAGCTTATATAGATGAGGATACATGGGTACCACCAACACAACACCAAATAAAAAAGGTGTCTTCTATTGCTGGTCCAGAGTTTTCATCCAGATCAGTTTCTCATACCCTGAGTTCCATCAGAAAACATCCCTGATGGACAAGGAGTGCAAAAGGATGAGCCATTGTTGTAGAAACCAGGATTGCAAGGTGGACATTCCTTCCTTTCTCCTGAAGGAGGTAGTCTCACTGCTTTGGAAACATCCTCCCGGCAGATCTTAGGCTCTACCCATTTATACATGAGCTGAGTCTGAAATTAAGAAGATACAAAATAAAACTAAGACTGATGCTTAAGAAAGAGTAACTGTTAGGTAGGCACCAGCTGGAAAAGAAAAGAACGGAAAGAAGCAACCAGACAGGAACTGGAAGGCAAGAGTAGGGCCTGAAGAGGACACAGTGAAGTTAGCAAATCAATCCTTTGAAAAAGAAGCATGGACAGCAGACCTTTTCTAGGTGTTCCCCTCACTCCCACCATCTGCATCAGGCTTGTACAACTAGTATCACTCATGGGCCACACCAGATTTGTATACAGCATGCCAAGGGGCTACACTAAAAAAAATGAGGTTTGGGTGGTGGTTCCATGAATGTTAAATAGTGAAGATGGATGCAGGAAGCATCTGCAATATTTTGCCACTTAAAACAACCCAATCCACTCAAAAGAGCCCCACATTTTTGGCCTTATCCAATCTGGGGGACACAAAAGAGATATTGGTGGGTTGGATTTTTTGAACCTCTGGTAACACATCTTACAAAGGGAGAGTTTACTAAATGCCCACCAACACTTCCCTTGACCTGGAAGTGGGACACAGTTGCATGTCACAAAGGCAGCCTCTGGTGTTCAGCCTATCTCCCCTCCACAGACATACTCTAAAAAATTAGGGAGAGAGACATATGAGCAGGGGTGGGATTAGTGGACACATCTCTGATTTTTTCTTTCACACAATTGGACTACAGAAAAAGGGGAGGAAGAGAGGGAGAAAGAATAACTTCTATCAATTATGTAGCAGATGCCTTATATTTGACCCACACTGGTAAAAATATAATATTAAACTAAATAACAAATAATTTGCTGTTCTTTACTTTCTCAACTCTGCCAGAAGAGGTTATCATCTCACCCTAATAATAAAGCAGGTTCTGACAACATCTTATAAATATTTGAAAGTTCAGACAAACTGATACTGATCTAGTTTACAAATACTCACCTTCTATAAAGTGAGTTACCATATAGCCCTATTATTATTTTGAACCATTCTTTGTGGGAAAATATACTCATGCAGAGTCCAAACTGAACTTCATTGAACAATTTTCCATGTGTAAGCAATAACTTCTCTGAGATCACTCCCTTGAGTAAATATTGTAAATGTGAACACAAAGAAAAAATCAGAAGGAAGAGCGTCCTTAAATAGTTAAAAGAAAAGCCAACAAGGAAGGAAGGAACCATTACTGTAGAAAATGAATGAAGCTTGAAGTTACTCAGAATAACCCCTTACTTTTCTAGCATTCACATCCGCTAGGAATGTGCAAAGTTTACTGATTCAGGAACAGAATGTCCTTCACACCGCTGGAAGAGCAGACTTTGGACATATCTAACAGTCATTTGGTTCTCTTTCAATGACATTAAGACAAGGATTAGACAAGCAACAAGTTGAGGGAAAGAGGTTGAGAGAAAGTTCCTTGCAATATATATTCTGGGTGTTGAAGTCCACACATCTTAGAGCTGCCAAGGTTGAGCAACACTGATCTACAGGGTGTCGGAAAGCATTTGCTCTTGTACAGAACGAATGCAGAGATCCACACAGCCAAAGAAATTTATTCACAGAAACAAATCCCTGGTAAAAGTAGAAACAGAATTCAGACATTCCTGAGTTAAGACTCCTTACATGTCGCCCACAGGGTGTCCACTTTTATATGGATTGGGAAGATTTAGGATTAGTGGGAGTGGGGAGAGAGATGCGACTTACTTTTCCATCCCTATCACAAGGAGTATGGATTTGGAAAAAGTCTTTATTTGAGCAAGGAAGACGCTCCAGACACTGGCTTGATCCTTCATCTGAAAGGAAAAGACATTAAATGTAAGACCCACTTTTCTTCGGAAACATGAGATCCAAAATACTGAAGGTGGTGTTTTCTCACCCATCTGGGGAAAGCAAGTTTTGCTAACAACCTATGCTTGTTGGCTGTTTTAATTACGATAAATTCTCTTTAACAACCTCTCAACACGACTTCATATATGATGCCAACTCGCTCAGGCAAACTTCTGAACATGCTATGCTACTGGCCTTTCTTATTTAACATCACATCACAAAGGAATCTAAAGTCCCACTCTGTCTGGCCATCAGTTCTTAGAGTAGACTGCTGCCTTCGTAACACAGTATAATCTTTGCATAAACCTTAAATCTTTCTTAGCTTTAAGTGAACATCTTAATCTGAACTGGGATGTTCAGTTCTCCTTGGAGAAGGGACAGTACCTGAATAATGTGTTGATTCTGGACACTTAGTGCATTCCTTAGCACCCTTTTCTGAGTAGGTGTTTCTTGGACAGACCTCACACATGGAAGACCCTGGTTTATTGCTAAATGTGCCAGGCTTGCAAGGAAAGCATTCAGAGGTATAGGCCACCCCTGCAAAACAGAAAGTGCAAACTTAGCCATTTTGGAAAGTACAAAACCACACAGAAGTAGGTTCCATTGCAATAATGGGGGGGGGGGTGAGGGTGTTTTGGAGTGCACAATGCTGGATTGGAGCAAGATTATCTGGGTTCAAATCCCTAGTTGGCTACAAACTTTCTTGGATTAGCCAAAGGCCTCTTTAGTGTCTCTCAACCTGATAGGAGCAGAAGTGTGCCAGAACAGGAATTTAATTATTTGGTTTTGGTTTGGGGGCGGGGGGTGCCTTCAAGTCAGTCTTGATTCCTGGTGACTGCCTGGACAAGTCCCTGCAGTTTTCTTGGCAAGATTTCAGAAGTGGCTTGCCCTTGCCTTCTTCTTCCTGGGGATGAGAGAGAATGATAGGCCCAAAGTCACCCAGCTGGCTTTGGGCCTAAGGTAGGGCTAGAACTCCCGGTCTCCCGGTTTCTAGCCTGGTACCTTAATGTTTACACCAAACTGGCTCTCTATTTGGTATTACCCCTTTCAAATCCAAGGGTTCACTATGTGGCTTTTAGTGTGCTTTTAATATATGGATTGGACCTATTGTACACCACCCAGAGTCTTCCTGGAGTTGGGCGGCCATAACAACTCCAATGAATGAATGAATGAATGATAAAACAGAAAACAATTATCTGGGATACCAAGCAGAATTCTTTCCCACCATCTGTTATCTGATCATTTTCATGATGATTCTGGCAATGAACTTGAGACCTCTTCCTGTTAAATGGGGGTTCTGCTACTGTAGTAAGTTTATAGGAAGCCATATGACTTTGGACTGGTAGATAGATTCACTTAATTTACTATAAACAGTGGAGGATGTATTTAAAAACCGAACACAAATAGCAGATCTACTTTTTTAAAAGGTTCAGGGCCAGAATGCTATTAAATAAGAGTGGTCACCTATCTTAGAATAAAAATGGCAGATAAAGAATAAGATTTAGTGAGCTCTTTTGACACCTAGTGATGTTTGTCTTCTTCTACACTCAATGTCAACTTTAAATTAACTCAAAAACTTGGCGAAAGGGTCTAGAAAGGGATTGAGGTGCCCAAGAAGGGAAATTCTGTGAGACAGGGAGTGTAGAAAATGCAGCTCGGGCCATCATCTCTTCTGTGGGGGCAAAATGTGTGCCTCTCCCAGTACATCTTGAAAGAATCCTTGGTGCAATCCATTTCGTAGGGCCCAATCATCAAGTCTGCAGATTGCTCCCATAGTCTAATATCAGAATCTGCACAGACATGATTTACCATCCATAATTCTTTTCCCACCCAATCCCATTTTTCTCTTGTTGTTCTACAAAAAACAACAATCATTTTGCTTAATGAAGAATTCCTGGAAATTCAAAAGCCTGCACATTGTTCTATAAATCACAAGTTAGCCTCATGAAGGTATTGCTGAAATATGAATTTTGGTTTCTTGCTCCCCCAACTTCATGTCCAACAAAGCTACTTTTCCTATGGATTCACTTTTGTCCACCAGGTGTCAGTATTTTCCTAGTAATTAACTCATTCACTAAACTGTGCTAACCTATACATTTTTTAAAAAGGCCATTGTAAATATTAGAGTGGGAAAGTAGGAACAAGAAAGCAAAATCAGAAACTCACATTTTAATTTTAAGTCGTTCCCCATGTGGTGCATCCCCCACCCCAACTGTAAGTGTAAAGATTCCCACAAGCTGAGGTCAATTTCTGCAAGGACATGTCCATATTTGTTTTCTTGACAACAATACAGAAATAGCCAGATCCTTCTTCCAGGATTTTTTTTAAAAAACCACTTTCACTTTTTAAAATATTGTTTTTAAAAAACTTTTACTTTTTTAAAGGGTTCGTTTTAAACTTGGGGGTTCCCTGGTGGTGTCTCATCCAGGAACAAACCTGATCTGATCTTCCTTAGTTCCTCCAGGATCTGAGGTCCCCTCACCTGCACAAACATGGCACAGAATGATTGGAGTTGTGCTGTTACAATATGTTCCTGGAGGACATCTGCTTGAAGAAGCTTGTTTTGTATTCCTCAAAAATAATATGCACCACAGTAAGGCTGTGAGGTATAAAGACTTAGGAATGAATCAGAGTAATATAGGTGACTTGGAAGCCTCATGGACTTTTTGCGCAAGAATGAACAAAACGAACTTGTGATTTATAGTTTTGATGATTAGACAGGATAGAAGTTATATAAAGTTATATAAAGAAGAGCAACACGATGTACCATTAGAGAGAGAGGTTAAAATATGTTTGCACTTATAACTGTTGTGAAAAATATCGGAAGCTACTTTTTTATATCTTTTTTTCTTTTCTATTTTTTCTTAACTTTTTTTCTTTCCTTGCATTCTTTGCTTTTTCTTTGATTTCTTTCTTTTTTTCTTCTTTTGTCTTATATTAGTTTGTGTTAGTTTTTATCTTCTTGTTTAAAAGCTTTAATAAAATTATATTTAATTTTTTTTGAAAAAAGAAATGAATCAGAGTAAGAGGAAAGCCGTGTTAGTCTATAGCAGCTAAAAAACAGGGGGAGTCTGGGAACAATTTTCAGACTAACAAATGTTATTAAAAGAGAGAAGCTTTCATAAATTCTACATCAGTCTAGCCACTCTGTGCATCTGATCAGGTGAGCTGAGGCTCATAAAAGCTTGTGCCTTTTCATAAAATGAGTTACTCTGAAAAAGTGAGACGCGATTCCTCCTGACTTTTGAATGAAATAAAGGTGAGGATATTTTATTATTTATTGTCTTTTATGTTTTGCATAACCTCTCCACTTTGTTTGCCTTTTGGCTTAATCCTCTCTCTCTTCCCCCCACTTTTTTTTTCTGCTATTGGTTTTCATTTAAGAAATGCTTTTTAGGATCATGATATTTTTACTACTGGTTTTACATGATTCGTCTTTCACCGAAATTGGATTTTTTTTAGGAAAAGCAGAACGGGACTGTTTTCAATACATACAAATACAATAGCTATTACTAAAACATAAGAGTGTTCCTTGCAGTTAAAAATTGTGACACTGTACGCTTAAAACAGTCACCTTCAATTGTGATGTTTTTCACAAGTACGGGCTTTACCACCTGCGAACCCATAAGTATCCCGGTTGTTCTCCAGTACAATATATTAGTACCTGATTTCAATGTTACCTGGATAGAAGGCAATAAAAATATTAGTTTATCAAACTCACTTTAACACAAACTAAGCATAAAACAGACTGGATGTATGAGAAACGGGTGGAGCCACAGTTAGGAGTTTTCCCTGGCAAGTTGTGATGGAATGTATCTACAAAGGGGAAAGTGGTGTGATGGAATGCAGTAGAGACCCAGGTTCTCAGGAAGGAGGGAGAGCATTCTGGGACGGAAAGTGGGGAGACAAGAGGCAACGCAGTCCAGAGCAGGTGCGTGGGAAGAAGAGACTTAAGACAGCCACTCCCTAGAATCTCCCAGGGTATATCCACTAGGTTAGCATAGTACAGATTGAGTCTGGCAAGATTCTGTCTATATGGTATAAGCAGTTAAAGAACTGATCTTGGCTGGACTGTTTCCCTTTTGTTCTTGGGCTGGGCCTGACACAAGTGTACAGTCTCTGACCTAGCCAAACGCAAATGAAAAATAGAATAACAGGGGCACTGAGGTTGGTGTGAAGTCTGGAGTCACCACACCTTGCTTTGCTGAAGTGCCTTGAAGGAATTAGCCAAACAGCCGAACACGCTGACAACACAATTTAAAAGTACACACACACAATTCTCCCACCCCACCTCAACTCCAAGCACAAAGAAAAGGAGTTCCTGTCCTAGAGGAAAGCCTCACCCTGTTTGCTCAGCTCATGACTTTGGTCAGAAATTTTTAAAGGTGCGATAAGGCATCGGTGTGCAACTAAAAGGGACTATCTGTACCTCCAAGCATTGCATGCAACATCTTTCTCCACAATTCTGAAAACAGTCCCACACACATAGACTATCTCAAAATAGAACTGCTTTATCTTAACTGTGAATATGACCTTTGGAGTTTTCTAGGAGACATGCTTATAAAAAAACTAAAAGAATCTCATTAAATGCTTTTTCAATCAATCATTACATCATTCAAAGCTATGGATTTTTTTTTTTTAAACTAAGTGGTTGGCTTCATGCCTCACATTACACCATGATCTTCTGTGACAAACCACAACAGCTTGTTGCACTAAGTCAAAAATGAGCTAGCCATATTGTGGCTTAGTATAATCCATGAGCCTAGCCAGTTAGTAACCACACAGCTTCTTCAGTCCAGTTGAGTCAGTAGAGGTGAGACCATTCATTAAGGAGATTAGCCAGGTTGTGACTGATAGATTTTAATGAGTTTCACTGGCACGTACAGACAGCCAAGGAAAGGGGGGGGGGGGGGGGGGGAGAAGGATGATGTAGAATAATGTATGCTTTTGCACCGTTAGCACCTCATTATCCAGCCATTAAGTAACAGAGTCATGCAAAAGGTTTTGAAATCAAAATAGTTTGAGGTCAGAACATCTGACCACAAAACAAGCCATTCTGAGAATTCTGGAACATCTTCAAGACAGGGCACAAATAGTCAGACCCTGAAATAAGTCATTCTGATCTTGGAATATAGGTTGGACCACTTTGGGATATTCTGAGCTCAAAATGATTTTGTCTCTGAAATGTCTTGTTCTGAGAGACCAACAGCTTTCAAGTGAAGCCACACAAAGTTGTACTTACAGAATAGGAGCCCCATTCACCATTATCTGTTAATTTCACCCACTTATCGCTGGTGGAGTCCATCTCCTGGCACTGGTCATTTTGAATCTGATGATTAAAAAAATAATAGGAGTTACCAAGCTGTCAATCGAGGCAAACAAACAATTAGAATTTATGCAACCTTTACATAAATCTCAATAATCCTTGCCCTGTCATAAAGTGAGCCAAGATGATTATCACCCTATTATAGAATTAGGGGAATTATGGGGGACTGATGGGAACATAACAGAACTGTAGTTTGCACAAAACATCCAACAGGCCTTCTTCCTAGGCAAGATCACAGAAAGACTGCATACTTACTCAAAGCAAAGCTTTGCTAAATGCAGTGGGATTTATTTCCTAAGTAGCAGCCTTTGTGATTTTAAGATTCATGCGGCATTTGAACCTAGTTCACACTGCAGGAGCCTGAAAATCATTTTTACAATACTAAAGTCCTTGAGTGAAATTATTCAATACATAAGCTAGTTACTGTCCATGGAATTCACAACCATATGAAGTGATCGTATAACTAGTTTAGCTGGCTTGGGAGAGAAAATATACAAGGTTATGGCATCCATGCCCATGAATAACACTTCTGTCTGTGTCATTTAACAAGAACAAATATGTGCTGAAAGATAGTATGCTTCTAGCTATCAGATGGCAAAACATAATTATTAATGCTATGCAGCAATGTGGATGTGAAGGAACAGATAATCTGGAGCACACATGGATACACTTGTCAGCCACTCCTGAGCTCACGCAACTAGATATGTTTAAGGGATGTTGATGAGTGCAATGTACATGCCCAGGAGAGTCCACAGGTGTAGGCAAAAAAATCAAGATGGTGGCCACAACAGTGCAGTTGAAGCGCGGTCTGGTTTTTATGTGTCATGTGTGCAACATGCATAAAAGTCAGGCAGAATTTCAATTGCACCATTGCAGCCATCTTAACTTTTTTGTAACCATTCTCTGTGGACACTCTTGTGCATGCCTGGACACACTCCCAGTGACTTTTCTCCTTCAAGTCAGATCATTACACAACCTGACTCAGAATCTCCACTATGAGATGCTTCAAGAGGAAACTCTTGAAGTTTCAAGCTGATATTTTCAGTGGCTTTGTCTACATAAGAAAAGCAAATGCTAAAAGATTCTTGATTAAAAATGATGGGCAAGTCCCCTGGCAGGTATTTCAGATAGCTATTTGCAGAATAAGAACAATAATCAATGTTCTAATGGCTCGGCCAATGTTCTCTCTTGCTTAGTCAATTTGAAAGTACATATTTGTTTGGACACTGATAGAGGGATAGTGCAGGATTACAAAATATTTTGCCTAACCAAGAAAGGAAATGTTACGTTGACTTTTAAAGTCGTATATGGATTAGGGGTTATCTGCAGGACTATTTCTCCTGCTATGAACCTGCTGGTTACTCAGATCAGCAGAACAGGCTCTTCTGAATATGCTCCCATTGGCAGAATCTTAACTATCTGGAACGTGAAAAGAGGCCTTCTCCAAATGTCTCTGCAGCCCATGAAATGTTTTCTTCAGACTGCAGAACATCAGCAAACATGAATAGATTTCAACTGGCTTGTGGCTGTATTTAATTTTGACTTAAAATGTATTAAGTTTACTGTTGTTTTACATTTTAAAAGTTATTGCAACCAGCTGTGTGTTATGCAAAGGCAGGGTGTAAATGTAATAAGAGTAAGCAGCAGCAGCAGCTTTTGAAGGCATTGGAAAAGATACTTAAAAGGGCAAAAACTGCTGAAAATTGCATCTGATTCGATGACTCTCTCTTACATATAGATGATGATTACTGGTTATTTTTCAATGGCTGCCTATGAAATGCATCTGACCATTTTACATTGTTCATTAGCAAGTAAGTGTTCTGGCAAGTAGCCAGATTGTTCAATACAGTGCAGACAAAATTATTATTTTCCTACAGCAAACATTTCAGAAAAGTGACGATGATGATAAATAACATGCCATTTTATCAAGAACAAAGATACAGACCAGGAATAATTTGTACAGAAATTTTAGCCAATGCTTCACACTTCAGGCATCTTTGTGACATTGTATTATAAAGACAGAAACCGCCAGAAAATCTAATGTTTAGGATGATGAACTTCTGACATCTGATGAAGTGTAAGCCAGCTTTCTCCAAGGAGATGCATAGGCAGAACCCGATGAGTTCATATACAACCCCATCAATACGTGATTTTTTAAAAGAATAGTTTGGGAAAGAAAAACAATTATTTATTACAATAAATTCAGTCTAGAGGAAAAACAAGAATTTTTCAAACTGCACTTCAAATTTGGAATCAAAAAGATACTTTGCAATGTACAGGCTGGTGCATGTGCCCACCTGTTGCAGACTCCTTAAATCGAAGTATCTTTTCCCAGGATAAACCTTAGTGATCACATACAAGGTGATGATCTTCTGGTGTTAAGTTACATACAAAACATATTAGTAGTTCCATGTTGACCCAAAGGGTGGTCTGCATGGAAGGGATCCAAAGGTCAAGATAACAGCTGCAACCATGATCCAAGCCTCGCCCCTCTTTACGCACGCAAGAGGGCCAGGGCTTCAGTGGTATGGTTGGGGCCACCATCTTGACTTTGGGGGGCGCAGAGATCCCTGCTGACACATAATTTCACTGGCATTAAGCATGCCTGATTTCATCATAGGCTACGGCAAATGATGTAGCTGCTCGCAGTAGCTGCTTTTCTAACAACATAATTTATTATAGAATTATAAGCATTTATTGCTATTAATCAACTGGAAAATCCAGGCACAAAACCTGACTTTCTTCTTAAGGTGTTTATTGCCTTTTTTTTTTTCAAGTAAAGTAGGGGAAGGAGAAAAAGAGAAACATTGCTCTTTGCAAGCCTGGCATGGAAAATATTTTTGTTTTGATGGTAGTTTTTTTGGTCCCTTGAGCAACCTGTTCCGTGCTCTAGTGAAATGAAGAGAGAGGATGACTCCCTTCATAACTCCAGCTCTGCCATTAAGGTCCACTGAATCAGCCACAATTGGCTGGGTTCACATATTGAAAAAGATAAAGAATCCTTGCTTTCAGTTCAAGTCCTGGTGGTTCATGGACAGAACCATGAAGCTTTCTTTGGGAACAATACAGAAGTGGTTTGCCATTTCCTTCTTCAGGGGTATCTGCAGGGAACGGTCACAAAAGTCAAGATGGCGGCCATGACGGTGCAATCAATAGTTCATCTTTTTTCTGTGTGCATCGCACATGAAAGCAGATCAAAAGCAAAAGCATCTTGACTTTTCTGACCATACCCTGTGGATACCCCAATTCTTCTGCAATCTTTTTTTTAATGTCCTATTCTTGCTAACAACTCTGATTCCTGGTCATCTAGCTCCAACTCTGATTAGCTTTTTCCAAGGTCAGCCCAGAAGTGGACAGAGTTCAGTAACTAGACTGGGCTAACACAGAAACAAGCAAATCACTGACTTAAGCAAAAGTAGGGCATTGTTTGAGTTGCTGGGGCTGCAGGCATGTCCACAAGGTGGAGCTTTGATTATATCGTTGTGGCTACCACCTTGACTTCTTTATCCCTCCTTGCAAATGCCCCTGATTTAGTCTACTTGCGGCTGACATTTTTACCTAGGACTTCAGAGAGACATGGTTGGAGTTCATGTGATTGGCTTGATTTGGGTGGATATTATAGATAGTCCTCATTTAGCGACTGCCTCACTTAGCAACTGTTCACAGTTACGATGGTAATGAAAAAGTAACTGTGCCGAATCCTCGCATTTACGACCTTCACAGGTCTCTAAAGCAAAGGAAAGGTGAAATAAGTTCATAAGCATAGTCATAGTTTCACTTAGCGACCACTTCACTTAACAACGGAGTTGCCATTTCCAATTGTTATCACTAAACGAGGACTACCTATATTAGATTTTTTGTTAGCCAGCATGGTTTTGAAACCCAAGCTGATGTGTGAACTCAACTACAGACCTTTTCTGTCTGGGGAAAGTGGCTTAATAAATTGTCTTTCCACCTCCAACCTGGCCCTCGCAGATATATGAAGTCTATATTTCCCATTAATCATGGCTTGTTGAAAATGTTATCTGCACAGATATGAAGGGCACCAAATCAGGGGTAACAAACACTTCCACTCAATTTAGGAACCCCCACCTTTCACTGCCAAAGTTCTAACTTCATACTATGCCTAAATCTGTTTTAATCATGATTTGTTGATTAAGCCAAAGGTCTGGATTGACACCACTTGCCTAACCAACACAGCATGCTCTGTGAACACTATCCTGGCTGTTGTTTTAAACATGATCTGAAACTGGCTCCTGCTTATGAAACTTAAGAACAGAATGGCTGGAAAGCTACCAAGGATGTCTTGATCAAAAACATTCGGAGCTGGGAGTGACTTTGGGGCTTTAATAATGACACTGTCTGTGCTTCTGCTTTTCTGTAGGGGAAAAAAAATCAATCAAGATGAGGCAAGCTGTTTGTTGTATCTGGGAACAAATTCATGTTCTGCACCAGAATCACTTGCGGCTTCTTTCTTTAGAAGTGGAAGAAACACCCTGGGTTATTGGAAGGAGAGAAATGAAACCCATTTTCTGCAGCGGAAAGCACCATCTGATTAGCCAAAGGTGAGCAATGGCATGGAGTCTGCAGAGGGAAGCGGCCTTGAGCTGGCAGGAACATTTTGCCATGTTATGAGCCATTAGAGAACCTCCTGCCTGTGTCCCTTCAGTGTCTCCAAACATTCCGCAAATGTTAATTAAGGCTGAACACTCAATGTGACAGCAACCCTTTGGTGATCAGAGATAGCAAGGGCAATGATTCATTCCTCGCACAAAAGAGAGGAGGAGGTGAGACCAAGCACTTCTGCTTTGGTTGAGCCATCTCAAGGGCCGTGTCTCTGTTCATTCAGCCATCCACACCATTTTGTCTGGGACACAGGAGAGAAGTGAGAATTCCAGGCACTCAATACTTTTCTGATGCATGGAAACCTCAACCTGGATTTTACATGACTGAGCAAAAAGAGAAACATGGATTGTCCAGGGAGCAAGGTTTTAGAAAGGATGAAACAAGCCCTTGTTTGTCTCCTCCGGACATTGACTTAAGATCGGTATTGCCTTTCTGTACTTTACAATGTTGTAGGGCTTGGGAAGCTGAGCCAGCGATCTGATGGCTTGTTTCTTGCTACAGAAGAAAGACGATCTCACCACATCTCCTCTGGAGCTGCAGAGCAGGAGGTTTCTCACTATGAGAATGCCTATCTTATCCTGCCTCCTGGAATGTCCTCTCTCCCTCTGGATGGCAAGATCTACCATGCCTTGCCTTCATCCCTTCATCTTCCACCATCTAGTGGAGGGGTAACTTTGCCGGCCCTCCAGTGCACTGGTTGGTCAGGGTTCAACATTTTCCATCACTGTGAAAAGCAACCATCCTAAGGGAAAGGTATGAGGGTAGAGATGCTAGTTGCATTGGGCAGCTAGAAGAACATCTCAGAGACACTTCCCAATGTTGTAAAGATAACGCAAGGGGTACCAAGGATGAGGCTAGCAAGGGCTGGGTAGAAGTGACTTCAGACCAAAGGAGCTGCCAAGCTCAGCAAGGCAGAGGGCAGATAGTCACATGGCCTGCAGCAAGACTAAAAATGATGCCCTGGGTCTGGGGTCTGGATCCCTGATACACAGCCAGGAGCTATACTATTTGGACTGAAGATGTACCAGCTGGTTTTTGCTAAGCAAAAACAAACCTGTACCCCAAATGATTCCATGAACTGTGTGAAAATTCTGGTGAACACAGACAGTGTTCTGCAATTACCAATCAAGCAAGCAAAAGTCTTGATCCAACAACTGCACTGCTTTTTCCAATCAACTGGTGGACCATTTTCATCCAGCTGAGTCAAATGCTCACAGATCTAGTCAGCCTCCCTTCTGAACTTCAATAGGTTTACATGGTGACATACTGATCTTACTGGAAATTCCAAGACCATGGGGAAAAAAAACACAATGGCAAATCACTTCCATATTGTTGCCAGGAAAATGGCTTAGACAGGTCCACGTAGTCACTGGGACTCAGCCTCATTTCAGGGGAGTCTTTATCTTTATGGCAAGCTTGTTACTGTTACCACTGTCCCATATGGAAGTGGCAATTCCTGCAACCAGAACCCCTAAACCATCTCAACTTGACCATGAGGTAAAAGAGGAACCAAGCCAGAGACATCAACTAGAGCACATAAAACCATGTGAATTTATCCCAAAACAGCTGATGTCTAAAATGTTTGCCTTAACAGGTTACAAATTAGATTAGTCGTTAAGTGAGCAAGCTTTCAGTTAGTAAAGCATATTTGGTAGGCATCAAAGCTTCAGAGCTCTTGGAGGATTGCTACAAATCAGATCAGGCAGCTCTGGGTCAAATAAGGAGTCTGTCTCATATGGAAGAATAATCTTTTCGTATGCCCTAAACAAAATGTCGTTGAGAATGCCAATAAACTGTCTCAAAATTATCCTCCATAGGCTCTTTTCAGGATATCATGTCTCAATTTCAATTGACCCTAAGGTCGATTTAGTGCACAAATTTCCCTTACGAAAAATTCAAAGAAGATGTTGTTGTCAATATACTGATATTCAAAGATGACAGAACCAGACTTCTTCAGATGGACAGTGTAGATTAAAGAGACAGTGCAGTCATCCCTGTTTGACTCAATGTAATTTCCACGAGGAGTCCACGAAGATCTGGACAAATACAAAGAGAAACAACCCTTATTTTACCAGCTAGGCATCTTGAGTTCATATGTATGAGGAATCTTGAACTTATATCCTGTTTAATAAAATGCTAGAATTAGGGAGGAGGGTTCATTTTTTAAAGAAGTCAATATAAAACCTATTTCATGAATCTATTTTCTTTTCAGGTTGGGTACAATTTACAGTATATTCAGTAATGATACAATTTATATTCACTGATCTATCTGAAGACTACAAGAATGCTTTCAATTCTTCTCAGGCTGTCTCAAAATAATAGGCATTTGTCAAATGACCTTTCCTGCAAAATTTAGCTTAAAAAAATGATGACAGATTGATTACATTGGATTCCAAAACTGGCCTTAGATCTGAAAAATTAAGTTTAAACCACTTAAGCCAGAGGTCAGATATTTAAGTGTGAATTTTAGCTCCATGAAGAAGGCCATATCATGCTAAGATCCTTTTTCTCAACATCAATATCTCTGTTCTTTTTGGTCAGTACATCAGATGAGAGCCAGTGAATAATATAAAAACACTGAACCCAGGTACCTAGTAGGGGCCACGATGACCTCTAAATGACATTCCCTGCATCATGACATCATCACCCAAATGACTTGAATTGCATTTCTGCATCATTCATGTCATTTCCATGATGTTGTCATGATGCACACATCAGTTGCTCCCCCTTTCCAGATGCTATTGCATTTCATTCTCCATCTAGAATGCCCTCCCCAACCCAGGATCTTCCAAATAAATCTGTAATTCTCATTATTGGTACTAGTAAGAACATCTGGAGGCACCAGGTTCATGTATTTGAAAACCCATTTGGAATTTCCTAAGGAATAAAGAAGCATCAACATTAGTATCCAGAGATAAGTGGATGCACTATAAGAGATAAGTGCAGTATAAGATAAGAAGAACACTTGGAGGCATTTCATATATTTGATGTGAAAAAAAATGGTGCCTTCAAATACCTAAGCAGAGGACAGGGCAAAATCGTTCACAAACCATTCTAAAAGATAGGACAAGAAATAATAGGACTTAAATACAAGGGAATAGATTTCATCTGGATATCAGGGAAAATCCTTTCAATAATGGAACAGACCACAGTGGGAGATGTTGGCCTTGCCTTTGCTAGAGGTGTTTAAATAAAGGCTGGATGATGAACATCAGTCAGGAATGCTGCAACAGTAAATTCCTGCAGTGGGCAGAGATTGGACCAGCTAGTTTCCAAGATTTTTTCCGACCCTTACGTTCAACGATTTTGTAATATTAACTGTGGGTCGTATATAAACCAGGCATTCTTAACCCAGGGACTATCTGTAAATCCTCATGCCCTTTTAAAGCACTGATCTCTAGGAAGAGATCTTGGCCTTCTTAACTCTAAACCAGTGTTTCTCAACCTTGACAACTTTAAGATGTGTGGACTTGAAGTCCCAGAATTCTGGGACTTGAATTCTGGGACTTGAAGTCCACACATCTTAAAGTTGCAAGATTGAGAAACACTGCTCTAAACCTAGTCCAAATCATTGCAGGTGGGTACCTCTTTAGATTCTCTAACTGGAATCTTCCTGTTACTATTGGAGCCCTGACATATATAAGGAGAGAGGGGGTTATTTCTTAATAAAGTCCTGGACGCTGGAAATTCCATAAGATTCTTACTTGGCACAGCTATCTGCTTTACTCTCAGCTGAGCCAACAGCAGTATCCATGTACGTTGCTACATTCGAGAATCCTGCAGGCAGGTCATCCCATTCATCAAATTTGATTCCGCTTCCCAACGAATAAGTCCCTTCGGCACATTTACTGCAAACCTGGTTCTTCATTTCTAGATATTCACCAGAAGCACAAGAAAAAGCTGAGAAGGAAAACATTTACAAATGATTAATGGCAAAGGGCAGTCATTCACCAGAAGTTCTAACAACGTTCCTTAAAAGCATTGATTGCACAATTTGCTTACAAAAAGGGTAGCAGCAATTTGGAGAATTGCGCTAAATTATCCCATATACCTGCCCACCCATCTTTACATTCAGAGATATTCATGTTTTAGCCGTGGGAGGAGTGGTTGGTTGGGGAAGGGGGGCTGGTCCAGACTTCATGTTCTATTCTTATTTCAAGAGCCACAGAAAGTGAAATGGTAATGCAGCGAATTCATTAGAAGGAATAGGGCAGGAATTTTCTGCTGAGTTTTTTTTTTTTTAAGAAAAAAAGGTGCTTTGACTTATTTTTCCATGCTGAGGTTGTGCAGCTGAAGTTGTGAACTTCAAATCACAAAATCAGTCAAGGCAACCAGAGAGGGGTCATAAAATGAGGCTAGAGTTATGTGGTCCCTGTAGCTGTTTTATCCAAAAGATGGTTTGCTTCTCACAACTCAAAACAAATGAAGGGGGGCGGATTTTCTTAGCCTGGCTCTTGCTATCTCGCCTCTGTATTTTGCTTGCGCTAGGAAGAAACTGCCTGAAGGACATGTACACAAGACCTCGAGGGGGAAGAGCGCAGGGAAAAGGTCTTGAGGGTAAAGGGGGGACACTGGTTCAAACTGCCTTAAACTGCCTTATTAGTTGCAATCTATTGTCCTTGCAATGCTATAAACACAGGGTTTGGAATCTTGTTGGTGTGGAGCTGCCCAGAACTTTCGCTGCCCGTGTTTTGGGTTGCTGCCCACCCAGCTGTTCACTCGGCCGATTAAAGAGCTGTTTTCTTTTTAAGAGCCTCTGCCCGAATTCCTGGTTTTGAATTTTCTGAGATTCAGGTCTACAAACCTTACACAAAGATCATCATTTAGTATGATTATATCTTGTTGGTGTGGAGCTGCCCAGAACTTTCGCTGCCCGTGTTTTGGGTTGCTGCCCACCCAGCTGTTCACTCGGCCGATTAAAGAGCTGTTTTCTTTTTAAGAGCCTCTGCCCGAATTCCTGGTTTTGAATTTTCTGAGATTCAGGTCTACAAACCTTACACAAAGATCATCATTTAGTATGATTATCCAGAATTTATTCCTTATGTCCTAACACTGCAGGTGCCTTAGAAAAGAAGGAATGAAGACTCCAATCAATATGCTTTGGGTCATCTTCTGTTCATAATTCATCTACAAGAGAACATGCAATTTGTGCAATGTTCTTTTCTTTATGATATTTATCTATGAGGAACCTGTGGCTCATAGCAAAAGGAACTACCTAGGAATGGAGAATTTATATGTGTACATTCTGACCAAACTTGACTTTCAGGTTTGACCATGACGCACACATCCTTCTAAGCAGGTACTCATTCCTGACTTGCAGGAGACAAGAACAGAAAAAATGTTATATTCACCTGAACATGCAGTGAATTAGAACCTAGGCTGGCATTAGGTCATTGATAAAGGCAAAGTTCTCTGCTGTTTCTTTGATCCTTTGATCCCTTAGCCTACTCTTTCCATATTCCACAGCAGTTTCTTTGTTCCCTTAATATCAGACAAGTCCATGAGGAGAAATAGCTCTGAAAATGCCAGCTGTTTGCCTGGTTTAATCGGCAGCCGATTGCAGCTAATAGCAAAAGAATCACTTTTGAAATCTGGGACAGCTGGAAGACTTGATTTACAACTGAATTTGTTATTCTCTCAGACCATCAACAAGACTTCTCACACTGCAATTAGTTGGGCAACACATTTGGTTAGCATGGTGTGGTGAATATACCTTCTGGATTTCTGATGGCTGTCTGGGGAGACCAAGAATACACACCTTGCTCCCAGTTGGGTTTGCATCAGAGGTACACCTGACAGTGGTTGCTAAGCTGCCTTTCATGAAAGCTTATCTCATGTTATTTCTCTTCTCCCTAAAAAACAAACTCTCAAAACTTCCAATCAGCTTCAGCTTTGCCCAAAAGGGTGTTGCTGGCAATTTCATAGAAGATAAACTTGGAATCTGTTTTCAGTATTGATTGATTGATTATGTGCCATCAAGTCATTATCGACTCTTAGTGACCACATAGCTTTTCTTCATGATGATCTGTCCCCAACCTGGTCTTTCAGGTTTTCCAGCAGTGCATCTATCACCACTATAACTAAGTCTTTTCAATATACAATGTTCTAAAAAGTAGAATTCTGTAACCTATATGAATTATGAAAAGTATGGGGTATCATGACTTACTTTGGTCACATGAAATGACAATCAGCAGAATGTCCACCCTGAACAATGTTTATTTATTCATCTATTCCTCGAGCTTTCAAGATTGTATTCCCCATTCTGCTACAAAATGAAAATCTTAACTATTTTATTCACCATCTAACAACATCAAGCTGACTGCTTTCTTTACATACTTAGTCCAGTCAGCCATTAATCCAGTCAAATCTTACTAGTATCTCCAGGGGCACTGGGTCAAAAATCAACATTTTCAAATACATCTAGGAAGTAATTGAGGCCCATAAACCCTTGTGCCAGGACAGTATTGGAAATGTTTTGTCACATCAGTGAGTCCTTGCCAATGGCCAAGCAGATAGCATAGGCATGAAGCAAGCCACCTGCTTCCAAGTTATCTAATAGAGAGGCTTGCTTTCTCAAACATTCTTTTTCTCTAGCTCCTTTTCTTGGAGGACTAAGTGGGTAAGAATTAAAAGGAATTGACGCTGTAGGCAGAGGTGACTTAAGGGGGTGGCATTGCACGCAGAAAAGTAAGGAGGGGCCTCGGGTGGAGGCAAACTACAGGCAAATTATCTCAAGGTGGGTAGATCAAGCTAATGGGGGGTCTGAGTGAACTATACTCATTAGCAAATGCAGTTCCACATTAGCCAAGAGGCAGACTGGACTAAGAAGATGGAGAACAGGTTCACTCACCGGATAGGACAGCTCTGTGTTATCTAATGTATAGGCTGGGCTGATTGGGTTTTCAAGCAGGACATTGGCTAATGCAGCTTCATGGTAGCCAATAGGTAGATCAGACCGGGGGGTATTCTCCAAAGCAGGATTTTATTACATGGCGAGCAGTGCTGTCCTGTTCCCAAATCACTTTATTCATGCAAAGTATTATTTCCTCTACAGGAATAATTTATTTGCAAGGAAATAGTGGCAGGAGAGAGATACATCTTAATCCCCTGTTTACAATCCTGCCGGAGGGATCTGATTGTCCAATATGAGAAACAAAATACTGGACTAAGGTAGATCTTAGCCCAATCCAGCAGGGCTATTCTTAAGTTCTTCTCTGTGAAGGACTCAGTGGAGCTCCTTGATTGTTCCAGAAATAATCTTATTAGCCTTGTGGCTCCTTACTGTTTATGGAATTATAGCAGAGAACCTTAAATGAAACATTAATACTAGTCTGCTTGGGCAAATTTTGTCAATTCAACAGGTCTAGAATAAACACAAAGAGGATACATTGCCCATCTATCCAAAAAAGAACAAGCATTTTAGCGTGAGAATAGGGTTGACAATTTCATGCTAAATTATGACCAGACTGCGCCAGGAAAACACAGAGCAAAACTGTTAAGCCTCATTAGCCACGAATGCTTTTGCTCTACTAAAATATTAGCAATACATAAGTACATAAAAAGAAATTACATTTTCCTCTTGCGCTGGTAGAAAAACCACACTGGGCACATATTTTCAAATTTATATTCTTTCACTTTTTACTTAAAATATCAAGGTGGTTAACAGTAAAGTAAAATAACAGACCAGCATGAAACAAACACTCCAGTAACAACCGGCAACAGGCAGCCCAATAAAAACAATAAATTTATAACTGAGAAGCGATTAATAAAAGAGGAAATAGATCAAAATCCTGAGAGAAATCTGAGAAACAGGACCCATAATAAAGGAAACATGTAGGGCTCCAAACACATATACTTAGGGAAGAGATACCATATTTAGGGGCCACCACTGAGAAGACCCAGCCTCCACTAATTGCTTCCCCAACCTCAGATTCTAAATAAGGAGACAGTTCATATGGGGAGACAGCAATTTTTCAGCTATCCAGCTATCCAAAGGGCTGGTTTTGAAGTCAGACCACTATGTACAAGGTCAGAAGGTTCCATCAGAATGGAAGATTTTGTGGTTAAAATGTTTCAGTCCCAAAATGCTTTTTGGAACTTTATCATCAAGACATCTGGCTAATTAGGGAAGTCTTCAACATGGTGGTTCCCTCTAGATGTGATAATTATCACTATAGACAGATTTTCATCAGGATGTTCTGTCCCCAGCCTGACTCTTCAGGTCTTCCAACATCCCTCTAAATATACTGAATCATAGTTCCCATCATCCATCCTATACCATGACCCCCTTGTAAATCTTGCCTCATTTCTAAATTTGGCTTTGTATTTTCATTTTTACATGAACCTTAACACACAAGCAGAACCATTAAGCACTGGCAAGGTCTCTATGAGATTTGTAGCAACAAAATATAAATACATACTGCATTCCTTCCCCTTGACAGGATCAGGCAAACCCGAGCACTCAGCTCCTGGATTTGGGACTGCTACTCTCCATCTGGATCCGCTGCTATCACATTCCGTGTATTCAAAATGGTACTCTGCCTGCAAGAAATTAAAAAAAACAACAGCAGCTTTATTTTGGCTCCAACATGGTTACATTATGAGGCATTGATCTCCAATATGAAGGAACAGCATCTGTGCACACAATACTGGATTGCTAACTTCTCAGAGGGGGCAAACTTCTAAGACTTGCTGCATCCATGGAAGTGACAAAAGGAAGCACTGCATGCAGTTTAATGAAACATAGAAAATCTCCAAGAAAAATCATTGCCTTATGTGACCAAATGCAACAAAACGGCATTGAGAAAAAGGCTCAAAAACAAAGCAATAGAAAACATCCTATCTTCTTACATTAACACCAAGTCACTGGACACATGAAGGACCATGAAGTGAAGGGTGTTCAAAGCCATAAATTTGTTGTTTGATTCTTGGATTTCACTAGGGCGCCAATGCCTGCACAGATAATCTGGATCCAGGGAGTCTGCTTTTATCTATGCAAATCTACCTTAGAAGTTTCTAAAGGTGTTTGATTTGGAAGAGGCGATGGTGTTTCAGGTTATCTGTTCATAATTATCTGCCAAACATGAAGCATGGACTATTAAAGATTAGATTAGGAAGGATATGAAAGGAGAGTTCAGGCTGAAGCCCCTTCAGCTAGTCAAAATGGAAAGTCTGTTGGTCCTGATAATTGTGGGGTTTAGACTGACCTGACAAGCAATCATTTTACAACCCTTGTTGTACAACTGCACTAGCGATTTGAATGTGTGAAGGTTGTATCATGATAATCTAATTTTGTTTAATTTGTTGACATTATTTTTGTAACAGATTTGTGCCTTTGTAAAAAAGAGGAAAAAAATACTTAGAGAAAGGTTTAAATATTTTAGGACCCGAAAAGATGGTGTACTTCAATATCTATTAGTGTGTCCAGTTTGTCAAAGTAGAGATATGTCCAAGGGACTTTTGAAGACAGAGTAACTGCTCGCAGACAGGGAGTGAAAGGGGATATGTTGAAAAAGAAAAGGCACCAACTCCTATTATGGCCAATCTGAGTCCATCAAGATGTGGTTCTTCCAACACAGGAGCTTTGCCACCCCATCCCCACCAGTCTAGAACACTGCTTGCATGGGAGTTCAAAAATGCTTTGTGGTTTGATACTTGAGTATCTTTGGGACCACCGCCTCCAACCAGATACATCCTCTATAAGGCATAGGAGAACCTGCTGGTGGTACTCCGGGAAGTGAGGGATTCAGGAGGCATTTCTCCTTGATGGCCTGGTTCCCTGGAATGGCCTTTCCTGGAGGGGAGACTAGCTCCATTCTTAATAGGTTTCCAGAAGCTTATTAAGCCTGAGGTATTCCAGTGGGCTTTGGGGTGAACTGGGACACTATTACAGAAGTGTGATTTGTTTTTGATTTTAAACTAATTTCATATTAAATTGCATTTTTCTTGGACATTTTATTATTGTTTTATTCTTATTTTATGAACTGCCAAGTGCCACAAAATATGGCAGCAGGCTTAAATCCAATAAATAAAGCTGATCTGCAGTAACCCCTTCTAACATGACTGCAGTCTTTCATACATTGTTCTATATTCCTAGCAAAACTAAGAAAAACGTTCATCTGCCCAGGATCAAATTAGCTCCCAAGATCAATCAGTGAAAGCTTTTTGTTTAGGTAAGATTAGATTTATGAGATTCAGCCACAACACGACCTTGTTAAGAGCTTCCAGAGAGATGGCCAAGGACTATAGACACCTATTTAACTGCTGCTGTTTCTGCTACAACAACATAATCTAACACTGCTGCTGCTTTTAACAAGTCAATACTAACACTTGTTATTCTTGAGTCAGCAGCTCTGGGGCTCGGTTTAGATTCTGGTAGTGCATCAATGGTGAAGTTTGTACCAGTGGGAGAAAAGAGGAACAGATCGCCAAAAGGCTTTGGCAGAAACTGTATAATTGTCTTATCATTCTTTTCATAGGCCATCAAAAGATATGACCCAAATCTGGGTTGCAACCATCAAGCTTTTGACTTTATCTAAACCCTGCAGTAAGATTGAGGTTTTATGTCAGGGTCACAAGGTGAATATCTCTATTAAAAATCGACCTATTGCTTAGCCTGTTATATATCTTTCTGTGTGTGTGTGTGTGTGTGTGTGTGTGTGTGTATGTGAGAGAGAGAGAGAGAGAGAATGAGAGAGAGAAGAGAGAAAGACACAGAGAGAAAGACAGAAGGAGGGAGGGAAGGAAAGAATGTGTGTTCTATCTATCTATCTACATACCTATCTATCTATCTATCTGTAAATTTATATTTTCCAAGTATTCCAGAGAGCCTACCATAATCAATTTCATAAGGTTCATCTGCAAAGGTTAATAGTAACATGGCAAAGAAGGCAAAAAATAAATGTGTAATTGTTTCATTCTACAGTTTTCTTTGACCTTTGCCTTCTTCCATCCTGATAATGAAAAGGCATCTGTTTTCCAACAAACAGACATAGTTAAGAATGTTGTAAGACTTCTCAAGCAAGAAGGCATAAATACAGTGGGGCAAAAAAGTATTTAGTCAGCCACCAATTGTGCAAGTTCTCCCACTTAAAAAGATGAGAGAGGCCTGTAATTTTCATCATAGGTATACCTCAACTATGAGAGACAAAATGGAGGGAAAAATCCAGAAAATCACATTGTCTGATTTTTAAAGAATTTCTAGAGAGCATTTGGATGATCCAGAAGAGGATTGGGAGAATGTCATATGGTCTAGAGAGCATTTGGATGATCCAGAAGAGGATTGGGAGAATGTCATATGGTCTAGAGAGCATTTGGATGATCCAGAAGAGGATTGGGAGAATGTCATATGGTCTAGAGAGCATTTGGATGATCCAGAAGAGGATTGGGAGAATGTCATATGGTCTCCACTTGTTACCTGTAGTAATGGCACCTGTTTGACCTTGTTATCAGTATAAAAGACACCTGTCCACAACCTCAAATAGTCACACTGT